AATTATTATGATTCCATATGAACATGCATAGATATTGAAACTTCATCTAACTAGGAATAACACTTTCTGCAACAGTTTATGATCTAGTTTTTAAATTCTCTTCTGGTTACCTCCCTTTGACTTTTAAAATTTCTGTCAGGAAATGAATTTGAAGATTGTCGTTGTTTTAAATCTAAGAAAATTTCATCTAATAGCTGTGCATAAATTTATATTTTATAGCATACTCGTACTAATTTGTTATTGGTCAGTTTTAAACTGTTATCAGAAAGGATTTTTTTTTAGTTAATTTTATTTATTTATTTTTTTTTAGTTAATTTTATTTATTTCCTTAGTTTTTAGAAACAGAATTGACTTCAATGTTAGACTCTGGAATTACATTGTAACTGTTAAAACCCTACTCTGTTAAATTATGATGATAGATTGTATCCCTTTTTGATGATTTTAGTATTAATCTGGAATGTTATAATTTAAAATATCATATCAGTAGCTTTAATGATTGCTTGAAAAGCAAAGAACATATATTTTGGTATTTCCCATTATTAAGATAAGAAATCCTTTTCAGAAAATGCACAAAATCTATTCTGCAGGTATAACCATTTTATTCCCCCCCCCGTTTTTAATTTTCTTTTTAGCTTGAAGTTTTAACAGATATGATGTTGTAGCATTTTTCATTAAATAACAACTCTTCTAGTCTTCATTTTACTGAATATATAAAATATAGCTGTAGTTTTAAAAATTTTAATGGAAAAGTAAAAAAAAAATTATTTGTTTGTCATTTTATCATATGGATATATGTTTGTGTGTGTGTATAAAGTTTTATCTTTTGAATCTGCATTTCATGAATACAAGTCTGCTATTTAGCAGTAAAATAATATATATATATATATATATAATGCTTTGTCAGTTGATACAATGAGTTTCAAAGAATTTTAACAAAATCTTTCATTTAGCACCCTTATTCAATCCTTACAATATTTTCCCCTATTATCTTTCTATGATCTTCATATTTGTATTCCTTTATAAAAGAACAATTCTGGTTTTGATTTGATGATTTTTTAAACATGTTAGAACCACTCACCAAACAAGTTTGATAACAAGAATGACAAAGGTCTGAAGAATACAGTTGCATGTGCAAAAAGTTCCTGCATCAGATTGTCAACTTGAACACAGATGTTGCTATGAAGTAAAATCATTCGTTTTCTAGAAAAATATTATTAGCTCTAATGTGTCAAATTTAGATTGCAAAATGACATTTTGTCCGAATTGCAACAATTTGTAACAAAGATTTCTTTGTGAATTGTGCAAAATATGGATAAGAAATTTCCCCTACTCCATTAGATTTTGTTGTGGTTGAGATGTTGAAGGCTGGATCTCAGCACTATTTTCTTTTGTAATAAATTCATTTTTATTGTGATTTTCCATGTTAAGTAAGACAAGAAAGACATGTTTAAAAGTTGACCCATGCACTCATTTTTGTCAATTCAGATGGAGCCTATATCCATAGCTGGAGAATTTTTCCCAACATTTGTAAAAAAAAAAAAAGTACTACAGTTGATTGAATTACACAAGCAATAAATAGTTGAGTAAATATCAGATATTTCCATGATGATCCAAACATTGTGCACACAAGAAATGGTGCTGGGAACTTATACAACAACCTAATAGATTATAATAAATCATTTACTAATTATTATTATTCTTTTTAAGTATTTTGTGAATATTAAAATGCAGTGTGTATTTTATAACAAGACTGCTTGTAATAATTATAATGATTGTAGCTAGAAAGGACAGCAATTTGGTCAAGTTGTGAAACTCTTAATTAGAAAATTTACTTGATTTTGATTTAACAGACAAAACCTTCATTATGAGTTTCCACTGTCTTGATTCACTTCCCCCTCCTGCTGCTAACTGACAATAACACACAGAGGAACATACTTGCCCAGGTAAAAGCCGGCTTTACCTGTTCTACTAGAAACAACAATAATTATCGCAAGCCCTCATCCTCCTAAAAAAAAAAAAAATCCACTACAGTTGTTAATTGTTGTTAACTGGGCCAACTGCTTCTATTGAAACAAAGTGAAAAGAAAGAAAAGAATTTTAATACAACAGGTAATGTCTTCATTTTGAGAGTGTTAGAGGAAACACTCAAAATGGTAAATGCATGGAACAGGAATATAAAAAAAAGTCAAATATACTTTGATATCAAGCAAGCAAGTAAGGAAAGAATATTCTTGAAAAAGGTTTTTGATGGCATTATGAACAGATATGACAAAAAAAAGCCATGCTTGCTTAATTTCTCTTGTTTGTTTAAACTAAAAGACAACATCTGTCCATATGAAGTGAAATACTAATAATTAATGTGAGATATTTGAAAGTTAATCAAAATTAACTTTACTTTTTGACTGAAGTTTTAAAATAACTATTTAAAAACAATTAAGCTCTATTTCACTTGGATTTTATAAAATAAAAAAAGCTGAAAAACAAATGTTTCTAGAGACTCAAACTTTTGTTAATGAGGGTAAAATTTGAAAAAAAATCAAAATATCTGGTAATTAGTAATTTTAACAAAACAATTATGCACACTAATTTCATAGGCTTATTTGATGTCTCTTCTGTAACTAAAAGTCTTGATAGGTATAAATTTTGGTTGACCTATGTATTTTGATTTGAGGAATTTCAAGAGATTGATGATTTTTCAAAGTATTTGCAAATACTAAGTTGGAAAATATTTCATCCTGTATGAACAATAAGAGAAAATAATGTTAAGCCTTATGAAAATACTGTAGATAATAAAATTTTTTCTCAGAATTGAGGGGGCATTATTTAATATTTAGTTAAAACTAGAAAATTTTATTTTGCATGGGTAGAGAGTGTTGGTGTCTGCTCTTGTATGATTGTAGGTAAATTTTATGTCTTACACCAATTTACTAGTTATGGTTCCTTACTACTGTGATATTGTATCAGACTATGCATGGTAAATAACTAATTTTATTTACTATTATTTTTAATGCTCTCTCTAGATATAGAGTGCTATAATTACAAATAATGCATAACTTAAATATGTTATCTTCCAGAGCTACATAGGTCAACTAATTTTTGGTGAAATAAATCTTTGCTAGTGTGTGTGTGTGTGTGAGATAGAGGCTTTTCAAAAACACAAGTACATTTCCCATTATGAAGTATTTTACTATTTATTTTGGTTGATCAAATGGATTTTTTAATAAAGCCTATCTCAAATTTTACAAGAATTATTCTTTGTGTCAATAGTGAATGAGGAAATTTGTGTTGTTTCAATTTAATTTCCAAATCTGATAATATTGTTTACCTTTTAATTGCTTTCTTGTCTGGCAAAATTGACTTGTAATGATTTCAAACTAAAAAATAACAATTTGTATCATGAGCTAGTCTTCTGTTCTTCACAGGTCCTTTGTCATTTTACCTGTAATATTCTACTACTGGTGGTATATACACTCTATGCTTAGCTTAGGTTATCACTAATGAGGTATCCAGAGAAGATTGAAGTTATTAACAGTAGCTTGCAAAACCAGCCTGTTAACCATTGATCTACTTGTATCTTTCTGCTCATTTTAGCGTTGACACTTCTTTCATCACTTTAACTTGTTTTCATTTCAAGTCAACCTTTGTCTATTTTCGAGTAAATGAGATTTGATTTTTTATATAATTTCAAATTCCTATTGTAAGGAAAAATTATATTTTCAAATCATTTATTCTATTTATTGATAATCTCAGAGACTCAATAAGACTATTACCATTGTTAAAAGCTAAGAAATTAATTTCGGGATATTGTAATAGTCGAATGTAGATTATTTTTGTTTCTTTTTAAATTCTGAGGCATTTTTTGCCAGATGATTATATTTTATTTAAATATCATCATCTGTATTGGTGAAAAAAAATTACATATTGTCTCTTGCCATGACACTTTATCTACTGACATTTTTTTTCTTTATTGATAAAGTTTGTATAATTTGTATTAACTTGAATTACACTAATTCTCTTTATAGCAATTATGTTACATATCTACTAATTTACTGTACAATGGCATCTTACATTAGAATAGCCCATTTTATTCACTTGATAAGGACTAACAATTACTTTCACCAACTTTTACCCATTCAAACTAGATTTTGTTGTTCATTGCATATCCTCCTTTATATCTTATCAAAAATCAGAAGCACCAGATCAGATGTGGCAGCCATTTTACAACATTAAATAGTATTTTGTAGTGTTGTTATTTATTAAGCTTAGTTTTTTTTCAGCAGGCTATATATATATATATATATATATATATATATATATATATATATATATATATAAGAGAAAGAACAAATGGAGTAAAAATCCACATTTTGTAGCATTTACTTTTTAAAGAAGTGCTCCATACATAGAACAGCAAAATATTATATTTTTATTATATGAGATTATAATAAAAACATCTTATATTGCTACACAAAAGCTTTCATGTTTCAATACTATGATTCCTTGATTGTTACAAAAGATTTTTTAGCAAAAGAGGTAAGTTTTTTGTTTTTTTTTTTTAAATTTCTCTAAAAAATCATTTTTATCACCAGTTACCAGCTATCGCCTGAGGAAATACAATCATAGTATTGAAACATGAAAGCTTTTTTGTAGTGATGTAAAATGTTTTTATTATAATCTGATATAATAAAAATATTATATAGGACCCTCAGTGAAGATTGAACCACTATGAATGATCTGCGAGTTTGGCTTGTTAACCATGAGGCAGAGTGGCCTTGTAGTGCTGTTATTCTTAAATATTGTTTGGAGTAACGGTATTTTTTTTCTTTGCTTAACCTATTCCTGCAGAATTTTGAATAAAATTTTCTTACATTAAGAAAGAAGTTAAATGTGAAAAAAATATTTCTGCAACTTGATTTATATATGTAGATTTAAATTGAATTTGAACTAGCACAAAAATGGCTTTTAATTCTAATGAGGTATTCCTTTTATTTCTGTTTCAGCCCTTCAGATTTTGCTAATCAACTGATGACAACTGCAGTAAATGCTGCCTCTCGAGCTGCAGCCCAAGCATATTCAACAGCTAAAGATGTCTTTTTCTCTCTGCAAGCAAGACCAGTGAGTAAACATTCAAATAAAAAAAAACCCTGATTTAACATTGATTTCAGTTATATTCATATTGATTAGATGTTATTCTCTGCCAACACTTTTTTTTTGTTTAGTTATTTATTTCAGAAATGGAATGAAAATTATTTACTATGAAAATAAATCTCTGCTTGAATTGTAACATATTGCCCAAAAACACTTTTAAGTGTCATTTTTATTCTTTAAGCCTTTCAGTTCTTAGTGTAATCTAATATATTATTATTTGTTTTTGCAAGTGGCTTTCTTAATTGGTTACCGTGTTGTACAAAATAATAAAACAGTGTAATGAGAGACATAAGTGACTTGGATATAAAATTATAAAATACTTTTTTGTAATTTTGTGAAGAGTCTATCCATTCCAAGAGTTGTGAAGACAGTGTCATTCTTGGAGTTGCGTTTATTATTACCATAACATCTTCTTCAGTTGTACAATCTGCAAGGAAAGAGAATTTGTCTTGAAGAAGTCCATAAAATGGATTGGCTAAAAATCTTGTAGTAATAACAACAAAAATAAATAAATAACGAGTTAAATATTTGAAACAACTCTTGGAATGAAAATGATAAAATATTTTAATGTTGTTAAAACATCATTTTGACAACTTTTCATGTAGCTAATGAAGTTAGATATACATTAAAAAAAGACATTTATATTCCCGTCTGTTGTTTACATTTGTCTCAACTTATATTTGTTATTAATAAAACAGGAGAGATTAAGTGAGCATATGATTCAATTCAAAGTGAAAATTTAAAGAACATTTGAAATTAGACCAAGAAGACATCTATCTACTACAAAATATAAATGATTGGATGTATGTTTAATTTCCAATGTCGACCAACACTGATCAGTTGGAGTTCATTTTGTGGCGATGACATTTAACGTTTAACAATGATTTTGGATATCAGAACTGTTCTTCACTATTCTTTCTTCATATCCCCTGCAGGTCGACGGAAAGCTGGTGTCTGACAATGTACAGCAAATTCCCTATTACCGGCATATTGGCTCGAGTGGCGTGATTGGTAATCAGAGCATAAATGTTGCATCTGGCTCCACATGTGGCACAGCTAGTGTTGGTGGTCAACGCCAGTGGCCCAAGCCCCATTTCCAACATGAAATACGTTCCCCAATGAATCAACTCATTGAGATGGGTTTTGCTAATCGTGATATCAACCAGAGACTGCTGGACAAACATTGCAACAATGTGGAAAAGGTTGTCCAGGAAATTTTGCAGATAGAAGGGATTATGGCATGGCCCAGTACTCGCCACTGACCTGTAAGCCACACATTCCTAATAAAAATTCACCGTTATCCCCCTTTACATTACTGCTAACTTAACCATCTTGGAAAACCAACCAAGATATACCAATCCCTTGCCTTTGGCTTTTCCCTTTTTATTTCCTAACTCTATTGGAAACCCTCTATTTTTCCTTTTTAAAAGAAGAGAGAAATGTAAACAAACAAACAGACACAAGTAGAAAAATAAAATTACTATAGCAATTTTGTTTGTTTTATCTATTTTCTCTCTTATCTGTTTTGGTTTGGATGCATGCATATATATATATATATATATATATATATATATATATATACACACACACATATGTCAATGAACATAGACTTTTGTGGTTTGGGAGATTGGATTTTTTTTTTTTTCCCCAATCATCACATTCCTTGGTACTTGTTCTCATTCATAGTAGTAGTGGTAGTAGTAGTATTAGGCACTGCTGTCTTTTCAGCATTCATAATCTATTTTTCCCCTGTCTCTCTGGCACAAATTCACACACACATACACATATATACACACGCTATTCTTTCCTTTTTTTCACATTATTAATTTTCCTTCACTTACATGTAAACAGAGAAGACACTAAGAGTGATTATGCACAAACAAAATAAAAAAAAAAAAAAACAATAAAAAAAGAACAGCCTCACTACTACCAAATACTATGACTATTGTTATTTACTCTTCCATTTCTTCTTCTAATTATTATTATTATTTCCTCTAATTATCCTTACTGCAGCCTGTCTGTTGATGGTGTATGTATGCCTGGAAGTGGCAAGCAGAGATCTGATGATTGTATTTTGTTGAATGGCATTTAATAAATAATCTTTTTATTGTCATTTGTTTGTCTTATTTATTTCTTTGCTTTTCATTTACTTGCATTAAATATGGGAGAAGACAACATTGGCCTTGATGTGACAATTTTTGAACATTTTGCTTTGGAATATTCATGGGGAATTTTTCCATTCTAATTTTTGGCTTCTTTTTCCCTTTTTATTTTTTTTTTGTGGATTTTAAAAATCTTTCTTTATTGAATTTTTCTATTTTCAATTTTTCTTTCTTTCATTCTTTCTCCTCTTCTCAATTTTCTTTTCATCAAGTGCCTTCTCATTTCATGCAAACACTTTTTAATAAATATGCTGTCTATAATATATATATATATATATATATATATATATATATATATATATATATATATATATATATATTATATTTATATATATATTTATTTATTGGCATTTTTATTTATTTAAGTAGGTTTTATTAAAAAAAACACAGACAAGTTTTGTTTAAAATTTTTTATTAGCAATTTTCTCTTGTTTTCATTTAAGGTAATGGTTGTTTGGTTACAGTGTCAAATGTCAAAATTGTCATCCTTCTGTTGAAGAGCATTCCAGAATGGATTTATGTTATGGTTTTGAAGTTTTAGAAAACTTTGACATATTAGACTTTTCCATTATGCTATTTACTATTTAAAATGTTATAAATTTAAATCACTAGAATTTTTTTGCAACAAACATATTGAAATCCTCACAATGTTTAATATTTTTTTGTCGAGATTTATGAATAAGTTTCGTTTAATTTTGCAAACCAATCGATGAAATTTGAGAAAGCTGATTTGTTTGGAAAAATACTTTGATAAAAACCCTACTGTGGTTTAATAATTTTAATTTCATTTAACTTTATGGGAAACTATTTTTTAGGAAAATTTATTTTTTTTCTTTTTACCAGCGAAAAATAAATTCTTAGAATTTCTTACTCTTGAGTATGCAACATACAACTGACCATACGTAAATATTTCTTTCTGGAGCCAAATCCCAAACTGGAAACTGGATTCTTGTATATAAAATCTTAAAGAAAAGATATGTAAAAACAATATTGCATTTTTATTAAATAAGTATTTGTTATCTTAAACATTAAATTGTTTTTAAAATAGTGGGAATATTTTGTATGTTAAATAATAAAACTTGATTTTTTCCACAAAAATTAATGAAAATTTATTGTACTAAGCTACAGACCCTAGTAAAACCAGATGGATGGACTAGCAGAAGTTACAGAATTTTATATATATATATATATATATATTTATATATAGACGTTGATGGCCATATTTACAGACCATTTACAACACTTGTAAAGTTGCTTGCAGTATTGTATAAATTGAATCTGTTTATAATCAAATATATTCATACATTTTTACTCACTGGAACTAAGGATACATTATTTTGTACAAAAATGAGAAATCACAAAAAATAAAAAAATAAAAATAAAGATTAAAACAGAACTTATCTGTGGTTTTCAATAAAACCTAGTTATATATTGAAAATTATATTTTTATCCTTACTGCATAATATCATTCAGTTCCATGTGCAAGGCAATCATCAGGCATTACCTTGTTCTTAGCTCTTTTCTTTTACATTAGCATTGTTTTGTTACTCCTGATGCACTCTGTATTAGCTTATATATATATATATATATATATATATATATATATATATATATATATATCTTCCTATTTAGTTTATTTTCATCCACTAATCCCTCTAGGTGTATGCATATAAAATATTCTATGTTAAAATATTCCAACAATTCAGTCTTTTTATATCTAAATAATTACTCTAACAACACAGTGTGTGTTTGTTATTAGATCTTATACTGTGATCATGATAAGTATGAGACTGATTATTAGTTGTAATGAAATATTAGTATCACTTTGTACATGTGGCATCCGTCAGTCTTGATAAACCTTGGATCTGCACCCATAGTGTTATCTCCACTGATGATGTTTCAACATTTGTTATGGCTGTACAGGCCCACATGTGACTGACAGTCTTGATTCTCCCCAATGTCAATTTGTTGTTTTCATTCTGTCAAGCACGCTTCACCCCAGCGGCAAGCCTTTGTTTCTCCTCTGTTTTCTCCATTCCTTGGTATAAATCATGTCTCCAGTATGAGCTTTTTACAACTTTTTATTTCATAATTAACTTTGGTTTACTGTTAGACACACTATCACTAACACAAGTTTGTATCCAAAAGAGGGGTTTTATCAACAGGATTACATTTTGATATAGGAGAGAACAGTTATATGATTACTTTAAGTGAATTGTGCTTATTTTCCTGGAGTTGAATGAACATTTCATATATTGGATTACTAACAGGAATTCCTCTCCTAGATTGATAGCATGCTCATTAATCATGCAAGAACCTTGTTTAGACTTACACAAATCAGGCCTAGTGTTAAAATTGGTTTTATGCAGAGAGTAAAAATTCTTCCTTCTAAGAGACTGTGCCATTTAACATTTTTTTTTCAAGTTCTCTTGAACATGTTCAATAAGAATAGATTTTATTGAAAATTGTGTATCAATAACAAAGTGTACATCATTTAACTTTCCTGATATATTATTCTACAGAAACATGAAATAATAGCCAAGAAGTTTATGAGAGAGAGAAAGAGAATTTCTTATTGAGTTTCTAAACTCAAATAATAGATGAGAGAAAATCGGCTAATATCAGTTATGATAAAAGAAGTCAATTGGAAAACTGGTCAGGAGAGAATTATGTGTCAATGGGAAGTAACTCTGCTCACAAAGTTGATATTGAATGTATTAGATACCGAAAATCTTTATAGTTTGTCTTTATAAAAATCATTTCTCTTCAAACCATATTGTCCTTTTGTTATTTTTTTAAGGTAGGGTTAAGTTTACTTTTTTTGTAAATCATCACTTCTACATCAATATTTATTGTTCACGAACGACTGTTGACTATACTCCAGTCGAAAGACCTATGACATTTACTTTTCTTTAAAATTGGCAGTTGTTACATATGTGGGATTTGTGGTGCACCGTGCACATCCCGCTTATTGTAACAGCCATATTTTTTACTATTATTATGATAAAAAAATATGGTGATTTTATAAGCGCAGCCGAAAGTATGCAACACTCAGTGAGGATCGAACTCACTAATCAGTCGTAATTGTTCCAGCGAGCTAAACTTATCCTTACACCACGTCGAAGTGCCCAATGATAAAAAGATACATTGTTAAAAGTTTATATATTCTTAATAGTTCATCACACTAATGTTAGTTTCACATCGTTGCCATGAGCCATCAACTGTAAAAAACATAAAACGTAAAGATATCACAAATTCATTATTAACGCATTATTTATTATATATACAACTTCAGCACAACATACACTTTCCTTCTCTCTCTCTCTCTCATATATATATATATATATATATATATATATATACCTACGTAGGCATATTTATATTTATTAATATATATTTTCTGGCTGTGTGTAACCACATCGAACACTATTATATTTACACCTCTTAGCAACATTTGGTAATTATTTATTTGCTTACCTGTGTATACACTAAGCCCTCACGCGCGTATAGTATACGGTTGCTTATATATATTTAATTTCCTAAACCTATATATATATATATATATATATATATATATATTTAGCATCTTATCAGCCCAGGAGAAGTCTTTGATGTTGGGCTCTTCCAAATGCCTTTTTTCCACACGTTTTCCTGTTAGAAATGCAAGAGAGCTAAAATCACATCCTGATGACTTATTACTTGAGATTAATCTCTATAAAAGGGTCAACAACTGTTACTACTGAACCAACATTAAGCCGTCTTTGAAACGTGTAGCATCTGAAATAGGAAAAAGTGCATCAAAATATGTTAGTCAAGTGAATAGAATTATCAGTATGAACATTCTTGAAAATATTTATGTCTACGAAAGAGAAATGCACGAAAGATTTTATACGCACAGTCGACGCGTTTATCACCAGACTGTGACGGTTTTAAGGGATTGATCACAATATATGGTCTGAGGAAACTGGGCGGATGGGTGTGTTTAATGTTTTTACGCTTGGTAGAATCCATATTAGCAGGTTTATGTCTGCCTATAGAAACATTTTGCTATCGAACAACACCGATGATGTAAAATTTAAGATACCTTTTAATAAATTTGT